CATTTCGAATGAACAATAGTATTAATAATATACATTATAATAATAATAAATTTTATATCATAGTGTGTATTAAAACAACTAAAACATTTTTAAATTGGTATTATATTAACAACTTTTTGTTTTTACCAAAAAAGTTACCAATTTTCTCAATCAAAATATTTGTGGTCCTGAGAAGGACCTTCGTTTTCCCATGTTCGTCAAGGTAGGTAATGGGTAAACGGTAAAAAAAAACAGGATAATGAAATTTAAAAATTACAAAAACCGTTCAAAAGTGCCTCCCTCTTGCATTGAACAATAACCCAAACGATCATAAAATCCCTCCTCACATTGGATAACATATCAGGGGTGACAGTGTCAAAGGCATTAAATATTTTCTGCCTTAACTGCTCCAAGTTTTGAATTTCTTCATGGCCGTAAATTTTAGATTTTATGTACCCCCATAAAAAGAAATCATTCACCGAGAAGTCAAGTGATATTAAACGTCAGTCTAAACAAAACTGTCATTTTTGAAAACTTGTCAAAATTTGGACACACACTAAATGGACTTGATTTTCCTATGTCTCGAAGTCTGTGGACTTTTCTGTATAATCTCATAGTAATTTAATAGATTGCTCGTCATATTGTATCAGCTCGTAGGAGATTAAGAAAAAAAAGATATTTATAGTATAAAAAATTAATTTATTTAACAAAATTTAATTAAAGAAAATAGTTACATTTCTATTGGTTCTATCGGACTCTTTTCGACTATATAAATCTTTATTTTTTTAAACTAATATTTTATGCATTAATAAAATATTTTGAATCTAATAAATAATTTAATGATGTAAATAAGAGGAAATTTCTCACATGGGTGGTCAAATTCTATAGTTTTCATTATATCAAACAGCCTCTGAATGTTTTCTTCAGTGCAAAACTCATCAAAATTTAATATAAATACTTTTTCCAGTCTGTAAATAAAATGAACAAATTTTTCCACTTTCATGATCAAAGGCTTTTAATGGGTAAATAATTTCGAGTTATCCAGAGATTCGGATTCTTTTGCAAATTTTAGACAAATATCACATTGATGTATTTGAAGACCCTTTTTAATGATGTAGTCAAACATAATTAAAGGCATTTTGAGTTGAAAACATTTCTCAGAGGCTGTTTGATATAATGAAAACTATAAAATTTGACCACCCATGGGAGAAATTTCCTCTTATTTACATCATTAAATGATTTATTAGATCGAAAATATTTGATTATTAAAGTTTACAAATAAAGATTTATATAGTCGAAAAAAGTCCGATAGAACCAATAGAAAGGTATTTTGTCACATTTTTAATTAAATTTTGTTAAATAAATTAATTTTTTATACTATAAATATCTTTTTTTTCCTTATAAATAAACACATTTGCATCCCATTTTAAATAAGATATACAAATTACCGAAACTTAGAAATAACAGTTCAAAAGTTCAACAAAAATCTTACACGCGTTTTTAAAAAGAAACATATAACCACGCACTATGTAATTCCAGCAAGCGAATACGACACAGCATAGGTTTCCGGACTAAACGACTGGTGTATTTACACCACTCAATAGGCGTGTCGGGTTTGCCGAGCGGTTTCCGATGCAATCGCTTTCTTTCGCATCTGTTATAGGTAATTTGTGGCAATGGAGAGTAATTATAAACTCAGTCAACAACGACAACCAAAATGTAAAGAGGCAACAAAGTAATGAGATTTTTGAATGTCCGGAGTGCGGTAGGAAAATAACATCACGTATCGGGCTTTTCAGTCACAGAAAAGCTCATGAAAAAAAAAACGCCTTGCGTAACCATCTTCTGATGCGTGGCAAATGCTCGTCAGCGAGTAATGGCAGTAACTAAGTAAGTTATATCAAACTGTAAATAAACAAAGTTTGTTTACATTTTGCTTGTACTTATATGTTGGGTCAACAAGTCAATGTATTACTCTATCTTTTATACATGTTCTTTAAGTTATCATCAGTTCATTTCGCACTCAGATTACATTGACATTCGAATTCGCGTTATTTAAAATTGACTTTTAAATCTATTTAAATAAGACAAAACATCTTGGATTTAAGGTTACATTACAATGTATTTAAGTGTTTTCTATTTGATATGTAAAATATTTTTTTGGATCAAACAGTTATGTATGAGATCATCATTTCGAATATTTATGTGGTGTTTAATGTCTCTTCTTTTTGCTGCTGTTTGGATGGGGCCTACTTTATTTATGTGGAATTCGAACCGCTGTCCTCAGCCACCAACTTAGTAAGCGTCTAAATCGATTTAACTCACGAGATATCCGATCTCTTCATACCTTTAATCTTTGTTAAAGAGTGGTGCGTCTATGGGGCCTTGTCTAAGTAAATAGCGGCATATGGTAAGATTATTAGTGTAACATTTATTTATTTTAAAGTGCCAAAGTAGTCAAAATAACGCTAAATTCCTTAATACCTTTGCCATATCCCTTGAATAAAAAGTTCTCCGATAGCTTATCTATTTTTTGATAATATTGCATATGCATATGAAATTTTCAGTTATTATCTTAAGCCTTTAATTACCAGTCTGTGACAATTCTATATTTAGGATCCTAATGTTAAATGTACCATATATTTGCTTGTTTTGTTCCTTCATGACGAAAATAATCGGCCAGGATTTTGCAGGAGTTTTTTTGTTATCAAGCAGTTACACAGATAATCATCACCAAATCTCTATAACAACGTGCAGTGCTCCAATAACAAGCATATTTTATATTATGTTTATAATTAAACTGGACAGGATATTGATTGGTCCGTGTTAAACTGGTTGATCTAAAATAATATACTTTTAGCAGGAAAAACAAAACGTAATTTCGCGAAATAAGACACACTCTTGCGTGAAATTAACCTGTGCTGTCAAAATTGGACCACGAAAAGTTGTCGGTGCGTTAGTCACCAAAAGTTACCCGAGTGTGATTGTTTATTCATATCAGGGTTGTGTTTGTAGATAAATTATATTAATTTACTACTTGTTTTTTATGACAATAATTTACACTGTATGTCATATAATTTATAATCAGGGTTCTCACTTGCTGAAAGACGGAAAACTTATGTTAGCTTGTTTCATTTCTGAAGCATCAAAAACTATATTGAAAGAATTAGTTTTGGAAGCTAATTCGTTTTTTCCAAAAAGCTTGGAAAACTGAATGAAAAAATACGTTGTCATACTTCAGTTTGTCTTCATTTTTCAGCCAAAAAGAACAAAAGTAGAACTAGCCTTTAGTGATGAGTAGCACTGGTCTTTGTCTTGGTTTTAGTCTTGGGTAAAAATCTAAACCAAGACCAAGACTAGCACTTGGTCTGTTGTTTATACGGTATAAGAAATTACATGTTTGCTCAAAATTATTGGTCTAATTTATTACTTGGGGGCTGGAGCGACTAAAAAGACTTACAAAAACACGTATAAAATTCATGACAGAACTTCAATACGCTGATGATTGCGCTCTAGTTGCAAAAACGGTACAGCAATTACAAGAAATGCTGAACACATACATATACCTGGGCACACGAGGCTTTGGCCTTAAGCTGAATAATACGATAAAACTAAAATCATGTGCACTCCCCCGGAAAATCATAACAGTGCTATAAAAATTGAGGAAGAACTACTGGCTATGTAGCGGAATTCAATTATCTCGTCAGTTTGATTTCGGAAAAGGCAATATAGACTCTAAAATTCAGCACAGAATTAGCAGCGCTTCAAGAGCATTCTGGAAATTAAAGACAGAGTTTTCTACAATCATGACTTGAGCACAAAAATAAAACTTGCAGTGTACCGAGCAAAGGACTTGGAAGAGTCTTGCAGGAAGACTAAGACCAAGACTACTTATTAACTACAAAACCAAGGGAGTATCAGGCATCAGTACTATTGATGGCTGATACTCTCTGATTGATTGGCTATATAATATTGACTAACAAGGAGGGATAAAAGTTTCTTTACAGTCTGTATTCGTATACGAAATGACAAAAATATTCAACAAAACAGTGGAATATAAAATTCCTTAATTTATTTAATACCTCGTGCTATGTAATTTGTTATTAAATATAATAAAATAAAGAAAAAATGTAGCATTTACCCATCCTTGAAGTATCGTCGTGTCTTTTTTTACGAATATAGCCATGATAATGATCAGGATACGCATGACACCGGTCTTGGAGTAATTCAAAACATTGAGATTTTAATCTTATAGCCCGTTTGTGTCTTCATAATATCACATCAAGATTTATACATTATATGGCTTGTTCTCTCGACAACTCGCCTTGGAAAAATAAAGTTTAAATAAGATTGACTTATAAAGGTTTTAAGAAAAAAAGTTTAACAGAGCGAATTTAAGAAAAAATGTTTGGAAGCAACTGCAACGAAGCTCTTTCTGAGTTGCGTTGCTGACGCTTAAGTTTCTTGTATTGTTGCTTTTAGAAGATTTCGGGCGCCACCTCTAGTTAATAAGTGGTTAGAGGCCCACTAGTGCCGGTTCGGGTAGCTTTTAAACAGTGGAGAAGTATGGCAGTGTTGCAGTTCTTTTAGCTCAGAGGTGGGGAAAAATAAATTAAACAATAGTCTGTAGTTATAAAATAAAGAGCAGGTCGTGTTTTCCCAAAACTATTTACAAGTCAAAAGTTTATTTTAGATTCAAAGAAAAATGTCTTTCTTCTTAATCAGGGCGGAAGGCAAGGCGATGTGTAGGTGGCTAGTTGAGACACCTAGCGCTTAAATTGGCTCCGATGCGGAGAGTCTCGTCACCGGGTTGGAGCAAATCTTGCGGGCGGTTTCGGAGCGACGGTGAATTCAATAAAAACGGAGGACGGGCAGGCTTCCCAACTGCTAGGCGGCGGCGGTGTCTCGGTGCTGGCTTCTGCGGGGCGGGCTGCGGCGACTGTGACTGCTGGCGCTGGTGCTGGAGCTGGTGCTAGTACTGTCGGTGGTGGTGGTGTAGGAACTCCCTTCCTCTGGCTAGCGCGTAGAGGTGGGTTGTGAAATCGCAGTCCGCTACTTTGTCACAGCTCCACCAACGTCGCAGTATGTGACTGCTCCAGTTCCAAGAAAATCGCAGTGACATTTCGGAGCAGTTTACAAGTTTAGGACATCTGCGCTCGTGAGTAGCAATAGGAGCAATAGCAGGCAATAGTGTAAATTCTGAAAATGCTCCTAGCCCCGTCGCCCGGTCAGACTGTTCCAGTCACAGTCGTCGCAGGTCGCAGTCGACTGGAGCATAGTATATTGAGTATATTCTGTGTACTGGAGCTGTTGGGAGTTTGGGAACGGGAAACGTAGCAGCGTTCGCTTTTTCTTTCATGAATCTAAATAAGATATTTATGTATTATATATTAATCACAAACAGATGTTTTTGACAAAGGTAATTTTTAACTTGTTAGTATGTTTATTTGTTAGTTAATTTTGTATCTGTGTTTTGTTGTATATCCTAAATCTTTTATTTGATCTTATACATTCATATAAGTTTTATTATTTATATCTATTTTTAAGGTCTGATGATGGCTAAATAGCCGAAACCGGTCACTAATAAAGATTTTTTTGACAGTTTCGACTTTGAATTGAATATAACATTAAGTTTTTACCATGGGCCACCACTCTGTGAAAATGAACAGACTCTTTAAGATATTTATAGCAAAGTGCTTGGTACTTAGAAACACTCAAATTCTTCTGAATAGACTAAAAAAATATAGCAACATCTATCAAACTAAGACATCAGTATAGTACCGTACAGCCGCGATTTTAAGAGCTCTAGGGGCCCGTAGTTCGGAAAAGTTCGAATCTTGTTCGCAAGGGCCCGGGAGGCTTGGGGCCCGTCGGTGACTTACCCCGATTGCACAGACGTTAAAATCGCCACTACTGATCGAAATAAAAAACGGCGTCCAGTTGGCTTGGAAATGACAATCGATAACATTCCCCATAAATTTTACATATAAAATGCCAGCAATCTTCATTTCATAGCTATCGCTGACGCCGTTTTTTCGATCATACGATATAAATAAATAAAAACTAGACGATGATGTTGCCTATCATAATCACACCTATAGTCCTGTACTTTTTAGTAAATGCAACGAACGGTGCCGAACACCGAGTGTGATTTTTTCGGAGCAATTAACCTATAAAACTACATTTTTAATTTATAGGTTAATTGCTCCGAAAAATCGCTGCTACTTGTCACAGTGCTTTTATTGGAGCAGTCGCAGAGCGTAGCAGCTCCACAAAAATCGCAGACTGGCCCACCTCTACTAGCGCGTCGCTTCTTATTTTCCCCAGTCTTTCCCTCCAGTTGAAAACCGTCGTGGTGGCGGCGTGCGCCGAGCCGGGTGCGCGTCTCGATACGCCAATCTAGTACTAGCGGTACCAAGCGGGCTGCATCGAGCGCATGGAATGCGTTCAATTATTAATTAGCGCGTTTTAAGCTAATTAATGAGTTCGGTTCGTATGTTAATTCAACAAATAAAATTTTATATAAAAAGTACTATTTTCTCGAAAAAGAATCAAAATTTTCTAATGTATGGAAGAGTAGAAAGATAAATTAACTAAATAAAATTCGTAATCGGCGGAAAAATTGAAAAAGTTAATTAAACATATAAAAAAAATAGTAACTTCGTTACACAACACACACAATAATTTGATAATAACCTCAGACAAATAATATAAATAGTTATGCCTTATTTATTAAAAAAATTTAATATGTCAAGAACAAAGAATGATTATTACCGAGGGAATTGCACTAAGACGTACACCGATGCCGGTAGTAAACATATTAGTATTTAGTAGTAGGTATTAAAAAGAGTGATAAGTGTCTTATATATTTGTGTATTAGTTCAAACATGCATTGACATAATTCCGAATTTTTGTTAAAATGCGTTGTCACCATGCTTCACTTACCACGTATACTGAGCACATACAAGTAACAGTTTCGAAACATGTGTGTGCAATTGGTTGCATGAATAAAACGGCAGATACGTAACTGTTCCTTAAATGTGACAAAATATTGCTCACTGGATAGTAGCCTGTTGAGTCTAGAACAGGCTACACAAGTAGATCGAAGTTGGTTCGTACCTTAATTTCCTCTAACCGGCCTGGATCAACCAGGCGGGCTTACGGTCACCTCAGCCGAAGACAAGCTCTTCGACTGCGAATGGCACGGAGGGCCAAACTAACCGTGAAAGGGTGTATACCTTCGGAGGAGAGGTAGATATCCCCTTCTCGGAGGAATAACATCTTTGTCAGAGGAGGATGAGAAGTACTTTGTCCCCCTACAACAGGATATCCCCATGTATGACGAGTTATAACTCAAGAAAGGAGGGCACAATAGATCTTTAAGGTCTCGGTGATTAGCCCCCCCCCTCTCACTCATTTTACATTCTACAAATGTATTTTTTGTAATACCAGTCGAAATTGGTGTTTTTGTTTGTTGTCTCTCTTGTTTTACCGATGTTCTAATCAGAAAATCGACCTACTTGCAGGAAACATCCAATTTTCGACCTACTTCTTTTTCTTATTTTGTTTTTTTCGCGTCATCCACGTATTTCCTCGGTCGAATACGCACTTCCAGTAAATGCGCGACGCGTGGGTAAACAAGCAAAGGCGTTGTTCGCCTTTTAATAAAATTAAAAACCGTTTATTTTTAACGCTTTGTTCCAACTGCGACACGGTAGCTTATCAGGTGATTCCTTTTAATACGCAGAGGTGATATGAATTACGTATATGGGTGTAGTAGAGATGTTCATATACATCGATGCATTTTATTGATGTAAGATGCATTGAATTAATATATCAATGGTAGTAATAATAGTAATATAGGATAGTAATAGTAGAAATCCCATGCCACGCCCTTTTTTATTCGAAGTTCAATAAAACACAAGTTTACTTAATGCAGAATGAGTTACATAGAGGCCACTAGCTTTTTAATTTTTAACAGCCGGGTGGTCGGGGCTCAAAGATATTAATAAAAGGGCGCCACGAGATTATACTCTATGAACTCGGCAATAAAGAAGTAACTATTAAGTAGACTTCAACACTAACCTCGAACTGTTGAGTGCAACTATCATGAACTTCAAATATTCTATAACTATTTGTACTTAAGTGACTCTAACTTAACTGTGAGACTAGACTGTAAATAAGACTACTAAAAATATTTAATCAATTTATTAAACTATGAAAAAGTTAATATATATAAAGTAATGAATGAAATGTAAGAGAAATGAAATGTGTTAAGAAAAGCAAAATTGAAATGTACGAAAAGAAGATAGAATTTAAATCAAATGAGAAATAACTAAACCTATGACGTCAAACCCCCTTATCTAACTTAATACTAGATACAATCAGGGTGGTTTATACCCATAAATCAAATCTAAAATTATACAAATATCTAAACAGTCTTACTCTACTCGATGTGGATATACTTGAAAACTTCCTCCGGCTGAACTACGGCGTATAGCTACAGGGTTGCTAAGGCGGTGTACAGCAGCTCGGTGTACTGTCACTGGAGCCCACGGATGTCAGCAGACGTACAGATGAACGGCAAGTTGTTGAGGTTTCAAATGGTGAACATAAAAAAAACCCTAAATAACATTGGTTGTCTTAGAAAAGTGCCTCAATTATAGAACAAGGACTAGCACAACGTGTAGGAGTTAATAAAGGTAATAAAGAAGGAATAATCAAATCTGAACTTTACCTCAACGAGGGTTTATGATGTCCAACGGGTACCTCTACACGGACAACAGGAACGGATGGAATTCTGGACTGTTCTGTGCTATACGGTCTGGATCGGTCTTCTTGCTCTACAATTACGAACAACCAAATAAGATTTAAGAAAGATAACACTCAATCAATCTTTTTACACCACGTGGGCGTGGAAAAGTCGAAAACCAATCAACAATACGAATAAAAATCAGTTGAGCATTGACTTAGAATAGGCAGAAGAATTATAGCATACCTTGGAACTATTCGGGGACTTCTTGGGCACGTGGAATCGGAATATCAGTCGGAAAATTAGGCTATTTTAATCCCATTGCGGAAATTGGTCGGCGGTCCATAAAGTCATCAAAATCCAACCATGTCTCTGACCAAAGGTGTTTCGGAAGCCTTAATCCTTCTTTACGAAGACCTGCTATTCGCCAACAGGGAATGCTTCACGAAACGGCAGCCAGTTCTTCACGACGATATTCTCGGTCGGGGAGTACACAAGAAGTGATGCAAGGATTCGATTTCCTTCACAAAATCAGATTTCAACCGGAAATCTCCCTCCATAGATAGAGAACTATATCTCTCGACTAGTCCAACTCACAAAAATGTATAAATAAAAAACGATGTTCTAGATTATTTTTCAACAGCCATATTTCATATCCGGTCAATGAACGAACTAAACTCAGAAATTCCACAATTAAAATGAACGAATTGCACACTGCGATCCACATCAAAAATAAACGATTTAACTACGAAATTTTATCTGATAATTATAAAATTTTAATAACCAAAACAAAGGATAAATAAAACCAAAAACATCCGATTTGATCTGACAGTGATAAGTGACAAGTGATGACCAAAGATAAAAAGAGGTCGACAAAAATTCTAATGCTGGGCCAGTGACAATAATGTGAAGCTTGCATATCGCGGTGTATATCGGGTTGCATAATCGTAAAATTTAAATAAAATAATATTTAACAATAAAATTATAGTAAACATGATGCAAAAATAATAGTTATTTGCGATAATTTATGAGCTAGCACACAGAGGTCGTTGCGAGGAAATTTGACTGTTACACCCAACTGGCAAAGGAGTACGACAGGGAGACGCGATATCCCCCAAGATGTTTACAGCAACACTAGAAGAAATCTTCCGTCAACTGGATTGGACCAACAAAGGATTAAAAATAGATAGAGAATATCTTAACCATCTAAGATTCCCTAATGGCATTGCCAATAGCCCTGAAGGACTACAAGCACAAATTATTGAACTAAATACAGCCAGCAATAAAATGGGTCTCGAAATAAATTTAGCAAAAACTAAAGTAATGTACAACGCACTAGTGGAAGGAAAAAGCATTCTAATAAATAACACAACGCTGGAAATATTAGAAGAATATATATTTGGGACAACTAATGCACAGCTCGGGATCTCTACTACCAGAAATCAACAAGAGAATTAAGTTCGCATGGACTACTTAATCATATTCAAATTTAGAAAGCCACTCTGTCTAAAGAAGAAAACCTTCGACCTATGTGTACTATACCAGTCATGATCTATGCATGTGAAACGTGGACACTTAAAACGGACATCTAAGGAAACTGCAGGCCGCATAATGTTCAATGAAACGAAATATGCTGGGCATAACCGAGACAGACCTTAAAAGAATAGAGTGGATATGACAAAAGATCCAGGTAGTAGATGTCATCCACAGAGTCAAGTTCCTCTAATGGCAGTGGGCGGGACACCTGGCGAGAAGAACGGACAACAGATGGAACACAAAAATTACAGCATGGTACCCACGAGGAATTAAGAGACCTAGAAGAAGACCGAACCTGAGATGAGGCCATGATATTAGGAAATTAGCAGGGATAACTTGGGCCCGCATAGCTAACAATAGACAATAATGGGCTCAACTTCAAAGAGAATATGTAAGGGAGGCTACACCATAATTGGAAATGGTTGAATAAGCTGAAAATGATGATGATGAATAGTAGAAACAGAGTAAGTGAATCGACGAGTAGCGACAGAAACCGTCGTCGGCTCTTTTGGTGTGGTGGGACCAAATTTTCTTTCTCTCTCTTTTGACGTGTTTATCAGATAGGCTACCTATATAACTGGTCAATTTATGAAGTGGTCCTATAAACATGGTATACACTGCTCATAATTTGAAGTGGAATTTAATATTGATATTTTTTGGTATATATATATATATATATATATATATATATATATATATATATATATATATATATATATATATATATATATATATATATATATATATATATATATATATATATATATATATATATATATATATATATATATATATTTATATATAATGATATAATTAATAAGAATCTCATAAAATATCTTACAGCTAATAAATAATTAAAAAAATGATTTAGGAAAATTCTTTGCCTGAAGCGTAGGTACTTGAAATAGAGTATATAGAGATACTTGATAAATGGCAACTGGCAACTTCGCTTCTTCATATGACAGATCGACACCCTATTTCGCGCAGCCGCAATGAAAATTGAAAACCGAAGTGTCGCTGCTCGTCGGTTTGGGGTGCAACTTTGTTCAAGTTAGCAACCGATCGTTTAGAAGCAATGTCGAAGCATGATCGGTACTATCAGAGTACGTAGATCGCCGAGTAGCGACAGAAACCGTCGGCTCTTTTGATGTGGTGGGACCAAATTTTCTTTCTCTCTCTTTTGACGTGTTTGACAGATAGACTACGTATTTAACTGCTCAACTTATGAAGTGGTCCTATAAACATGGTATACACTGCTCACAATTTGAAGTGGAATTAATTATAAAGTTTTATACATATCTTTTTTGTTTTGTTTTATCCTTATTTCTAAATTTGAGTGTATAAAATATCTTACTGCTAATAAATAATTAAAAAAACGATTCGTTGCCTGAGGTATACTTGAAATAAAGTATATAGAGATATTTGATAAATGGCAACAGTGGCAACTTCGCTTCTTCGTATGACAGATAACCTACTTATTTCGCGCAGCCGCAAAGAAAATTGAAAACGGGACTGTCGCTACTCGGCGGTTTAGGTACTCTGGTACTATGTTCATTGCAAAACTATTGTCGCTTTATCAAATCGGGTATTCTCGGCAAATGCTGCGAAATATGGTATCACTATCACACTCTTGCACACGTGTCCGACACGGCGTAGGCTCTCGCTTGAGCGAGAAATCAGAATATCGCTACGAATCGATGTTGCTATTGAACATAGTGCCTCAAGCTACAAAATTACTTTGCTATCGCTTTGAAACATGAACAAAGTTGCACTCCAGGTACGCTGGTAGAAATAACAGTTCCTCTTTGATGTACCTCCACAGAGCCGAACAGTCAAAACAGCCTTTTTATGTGATCGCATAAAGACTCAGTTTATTCCTGGTTGTATTTAGATCATTAATTTGTGCTTGTAGTTCTTCAGGACTATTGGCAATTAGGACTATGTCATCATCGAATCTTCTATGGTTAAGATATTCTTCATCTATTTTTATCCTTTGTTGGTATATTAATGTGATGTTTGGCGGATAATACTATTTTTATACTTTTGCAGCTGGCATTTTCTATAAGAAAATCTATAAACAACAACGAAGTTTTGCAATCTAGTGACTTTAAGAGTCTATTACGCCGTACTTTCGGGTCGCTCTCAGGGATCGGATAAAGCGGGTGTGTGGGCGAAGGAAATATATATTATATTTCAGAAATCTAAGGCTTAGCCCGATCCTGTGGTGTTAAGCCACACCTAAAATTGCAAACACACGTGCTTTAATTAAAGCTTGATTAAGGTTTGCAGAGCTTCAGCATTTGCCATAAAATAGCGAGCAATTTGTTACAAAACCATATAAATTATATATCACTGTAATCACAAAACTTCAATCTATTTCCGTATGGTAACGGAATTTTATATTATGTCTTTATTGTCGAAAAAATTTAGTCTAAACATATACGAATATTTTGTTGATGTTTGACCATCAAAATCTTAAAAATAAAAAAGTTGTCTAAAAATGTGCTACAATACGGATATAGTATAATCCTTTATCTTTAATATCCTACTTCATTTGTGTAAAAATACCTAGCCAATTTTATATAAAACGTTAAATCCCGAACGCTTTTTTTCTACTTTTTCGGACTAGTGAAATGAACTCTTAACACTCTTAACAGTAAATAAGTTAAGACTTAATTCTTTCTAAAAATACGTCCAGGTATATTTATTAGCATTTTTTTTAAAGAAACCACGACCGTGACTACTTGTATTCTAAAAATAACGTTGTTTTTTTTCGTTACAGGAATAACCGAAGGCACGATGACTTGGCTGCGTGTTTTGCTGTTGGGCGCAACGCTGTTGCACGCGGTGACAAGTGACGCAGTGAAGGAAGAACGATGTTTGACAAATTTTTCGGGTAAGAATAGTTTTAACAACGTGAAAATCCTCGTACAATGTAACCGAGATTGATGGTTCGCGCTGTGGGAGCATAGTCCGATGTCATTTCTCACAAGCCACACTTCATAACGTATAATATCTACGATTTTGAAATTAATTGGTTTATACAGTTTTACTTCTTGAAAATGGAAAATAAATAGCGTTTTTTTTTACATACATAAAGGGCCATTACTACCGCTTTTCCGTTGAAAATCTATACTAATATATAAAATCCTTAAGTGACTGACATACTGATTAATCACGATCTTGCTCAAACCACTCAACGTAAGAAGCTCAATTTTGGCATACAGGTTGATTCTAGGGTGTAGAGGTTCGATAAGAAGGGATTTTTCGAAATTCCAGTTCCAAGAGGGTGAACAACCCTCAAATATTAGAATATTTTTTATTTAAAAAACGGTCAAGTTTCCGAAAAAATGCTTAAACATGTATATTTTATTTTGGTTTTTTACATATTTTAAGATTTTTTAAAAATGTATACAGGGTGTTTCGAAAAATCTGGTCATTGATTAATCACGATCCTGTTAAAGCGCTTGACGTAAAAGCTGATTTTTGGAAAACAGATTGACTTTAGGGTGAAGAGATAAGAAGAGATTTTCGAAGCTTGAATTCTAAGGGGGTGAAACTATCCCTCAAATAATAAAATATTTTTTATTTAAAAACCGGTGAGTTTTTCGGAAAAACTCTTAAACACGTATATTTTATTTTGTTGTTTTACATATTTTAAGATTTTTTATAAATTCTTTTTTTAGTACGTTTACATATTTTAAATAATAGAGTAGACGCCGCCATTAAATATCGGCCTGAGTTTAAGATTTACTTGAGTTAAAGCTTTACTTGAATTTTAGATGTACTAAAAAAAGAAAACTAGATTACTAGACCAAACTAGACAAGCGCATGCCTTAAACATACATAAAAATAAATTACATTATATGTTCCTGACCGCATTATACCAAATGATCGAAAAAAAGCCTCCAGTTGGCTTGGAATTGAAATCGGTCTTCCGTACTAAAAAAAGAAAACTTCCGTACTAAAAAAAAACTTCCGTACTAAAAAAAGAAAACTAGATTACTAGACCAAACTAGACTAGCGCATGCCTTAAACATGCATAAAAATAAATTACATTATATGTTCCTGACCGCATTATACCAAATGATCGAAAAAAAGCCTCCAGTTGGCTTGGAATTGAAATCGGTCTTCCGGTATCGATTGAAACCGGGCTTTTGGGATTGATTTAAACCGGTCTTCCGGTACCGGTATCAAAATCAGTCTTCCGGTACCGGTACCAAATCCAGTCTTCCGGTACCGGTACTTAAACCGGTATACCGGTGTTGAATTAGTCGATACCGGTACTGGAATATTTCAAAAGTACTGGTCCTGGTACCTGTATACCGGAAGACCGAGCATGCCTACCTGTAGCTACGAAACACAGCTGAAGAGCTGAATCAGACCTATCTATATGTTGATATAAAAAAAAAATATTTTTACGTGAGAAATCTTCCCACGAGAAATGGCACATGTTCTTTGAAACACACTGTATACGGTAAAATTTAAAGAAAAATACATTTTTAGCATATCATTTTCGCGAAATAAAGTCTCATGGCGTGTTTCCGCACACCTCTATATTGATTGTGTAGAGGTGTGTAAACCAAAGATGGGATGGGACACTCTGTACAGAGTCTCTCAAATACGAAAAAAAGTATTATGACAAGTAGCGATGGGAACTATCGAATGAATTAGACTATCGAATGGTTAATGAATGAATGATTTCAACTATCGAATGGTTTTATTCGAATAAAATCATTCATTCATTTGTAAACTAAAGCATATGTGACAACCTCGCCGTGCGACTAAATGGTTATCGTTGAGCCACGACTCGAATGCTTTTGATAAATGAAATTTAGTATTCGTTTGGATTTTGTATGCGTTAGTGCATTATTGGTTCTTCCAAATTTTTATAACTTCGCCGTATAAATACTGTGCTATTTTTGCGTTTATTAAAATAGTTAAAATACTAAAATAGTAGTTATTTTTTAATTTTATTTATTGACGATTGTGTGCATGTGCAGGTGGTCAAAATTTTTCCGATAATTTGTGTGGTTTTCCGTAGTCCGATCTTTCAATTATTTCATTTTATATGGTATATGGTCTATTTTTTAATAGGAAATTTTGAGAAGTAGCAATTTTAAGAGAGATGAGATGAACTTATTAATTAATTTTAAAAATACATATTTGTATTTTAGATGTTTTAATAATACCTATGAATTAGTTGGAACTTAATAATTATATTTAAGTAATGTGGTTAAATAAATGGTTATCGAACTCAAACTATGGGGTGAGAAAATTAAAATGAAAATTTTACACGTGCCAATTTAAAAAAAAAAGTTAACGATGTTTGTATTTTGTTTATGCTAATTCTCTTACATGTAGTTTTTTGCGAAGAAATATTTCATTTATTTTTTAAAGTAAATGCCAGTAAAAGTAAATATAATTTTTAAATAGTAATATAAAGCACCTAATATAAATAATTTTGATTTCTAATTTTTTATTTATATTTTCCTTCCATTACACCGCTTGCTTAGAAAATTAATAAATGTTTATATTTCATGATTTTAAAATTTGTTGTTAATATAACAAATTAGTTCTGTAATTATTATTATTTAATAAACCAACGTTGCCAAAAAAAATTAGAGACTATATTATTTTTAAATAGGATCTAATATAAATAATTTTGACATCTAATTTGTTGTTTATATTTTGCTACTACTTAAAAAAAATATTTATATTAAATGATTTTAAATTTTGTTGTTAATAGGTATAACAAATTATTACTGTTATTATTATTTATTAAACCAGTCTTTGCTTAAAAACATTAAAATATAATTTTCCTACATCCAAAATAACAAGTATTATTGCAGTGTAACAACAGAATATTAATAAAAAATGCAGAATATATAGACATACTATCCCTAACTAACTAAAGCCAAACAATAATATTCTTTGCTAATATCAACTAATACAAAAATATGGCAACAGCGCCCTTCATAATGTATTTTCATTTTCTGTGTAAATACTAGCACCTCAATAAAAAAAAATAATGTGTCCTTATCTATATATGACTCCGCAAAAATCAAAGATGCCGGCTTCTTTCATAGCATTGCCACCGACCGCTTTCTCGGAAACCTACGTCGCCGGGCGACAACTAAAATTCAGTTAATATTTTATTATAATCGATCCTGACGAATAAATGAATTTCATAAATGAATGAATTTTATACATGAATGAATTTTATAAATGAATGAATTTTATAAATGAATGAATTTTATAAATGAATGAATTTTATAAATGAATGGTTTTTGCTGCCGAATTACTAGAATACAATATTTCAAGGCAGATGACGGATCTATTCGATAATTTTTATTCGAATAGTTTTCAACGAATGTTTTCTTACTAACTATCGAATTATTCGAATGAATTGCAACTATCGAATGTTTCGATAGTATTCATTCGATAGTTCCCACTACTAATGACAAGTAATTAATTAGAAATAAAGTAATAAAATTAATAGCGGGGAAATAAATAAATATACTACTTTAATCAGTTCGTATAAATCAAATTAAACTGCTTTCTTTTTATGTCTCATAACAAAAATATTTTAATTACTAAACTTTTTATCATATCAAGTATTCTGCAACATTGTTTGTCCTGAATTACGGCTACACCCGTCAAATAAAGTATTTCAATTTTATCTGTTCATAAATTTCGTACTTCATGTTCACACCGAACCAATAATACATGACGAGTAGGTGTGCGTATGATACCGATATAAAGTACAAGTGTATTATTTATAGACTCCAACAACGAATAACATGATAATCCTTTATTTTTCAATGGTCCCGAGTACAGATAGATATCGTAGACTACGTATATTATGGGGCAATAGATAATCACGTTGGCGTTTCTGTATTTCTCAGTTGGAAGCCACGTTATTTATACTCACGATAAATAATTAAATAAAGGCGGTTTCCTTAACAGTAATTAATTTTTTATTGTTTATTTATTTTATTGCTAGTTGCGGTGTTAATTAGTATTAACATTATTAGAAAATTTACTTTGAAAGTGGTAGGCAATGTTAAAATACGAAATATAAATCTTCCTGCACTGAAATTTTACACAACGTTTTGGTCAATAATAATGAATGAAATATTCTGTACCATTATTCATCATCATCATTCTCAGCTTATTTAACCATTCCCGATTATGGTGTAGCCTCCCTCACATATTTAGATGCTCTCTTTGTAGTTGGGCCCATTGTTGGCCAAGCGGGCCCAAGTTATCCCTGCTAATTTTCTAATATCATGGTCGCATCTCAGGTTCGGTTTTCCTCTAGGTGTCCGAATTCGTGGTGGGTACTATAATGAAATTTTTGTGGTCAATCTGTTGTCCGTCCTTCTTGCCAGGATGTGCTGCCCATTGCCACTTGAAGAATTTGATTCTGTGGATGACATCTATTACCTGGGTATTTTGTCGTAACAACTCTATTCTTTTAAGATTTCTCTTGGTTATTCTCAGCATATTTCGTTCCATTGAGCGTTGTGCGACCTGCAGTTTCCTTACAATGTCCGTTTTAAGTATCCAGGTTTCGCAAGCATAGGTCATGACTGGTAGTATACATTGGTCGAATGTTTTCTTCTTTAGAGAATGTGGCATTCTAAATTTGAATATGATTAAGTTTCTTCTATAAGTACTCCATGCTAACTTAATTCTTCTATTGATTTCTGGTAGTAGAGATCCCGAGCTGTGTATTAGTTGTCCCAAATATACAAGATGGTCCGAACTGTATTCCGGAAACTTCGATCGGCAGCATATTCTGCAGAAAAAAATAAGTAAAAGAGTTCGTATAATCACAGATTAGGTATCCTATAAGTATACAGATAAAAATCTTGTCCCTAATTCGTGGTA